AGCATAACATTCTCGCGCAAAGGCTGCGCTCCTTAAACTAGCTAGAAATGTGATGTTGATGAAAGCCTACTGGGCAAGTATTCGTACCATAGTATGGTAAGGAATACTTGCTCACTAGGTTTCTCGTCACTAACACATCAGAATATGGAGAAGAAGAATAACTAAACAGATTTGTACTTGAAGTTCTGCGCTAATTTTAAGAGATTTCTATCTTTCTATTGCGTTTGTGTATTCTGCTTCTCTAGCAATGTATCCGTTCCGTCTTACATTTCGCCACCCACTCTGTCTTCTCTCCTGTTTTCTCTGCCACCTTAATTTCTCATGAAATTTTGCTTAGTTCCCTCTATACAGTTTCCCTACTTACTTCTATCACGCCCTCTTTTTATGAGAAGCGTCCTACTTTGTCTGTCGCACTCGCTTCCCGTGTTAATCTTCCAGTTGTCAGCGTTCACAAGGCAGGTTTCATTATCTCTTCAGAGCTAGTTGAAAAGTATTTTTGGAACAGTTTTTGTTTGCATTCGTGGGAGATATGAACGGAGTGTCAACACAAGCTGTTTTTTCTTGGCGACCGGAGTACCAGGAATTTTTCTGGATTTTGTGATTTCGGAACTGTCGATCTGTAGCGTTTTAATAACATGTATCGGTTACGGTCAAAGCATCACGTGCTCAGATCAGTTTCTTGAAGTAGCTCATATCTTGAATTATGACTAATCATTTCTTTCCTCTCTAAATTTCTTCTTCATATTCAAGAAATCATTGTTATTATTCTTGGTGGTACCTCCTCTTCTTTCCAATGAATTGGATGCATTCCTTCTACTCCGATAAAATTGCTCAACTGTCATTTGCTGAAATTGGTTTCAGACTAGGGCTCTATTCGTGGCATTATAATGGTCTTTTTCAGGAACCTTTGTTGGTGTCGCAGAGCTCTGTAACAAGACGGGACGGACTGGTTTTACTCGGCACGACGAACAGAAAGCTCGCACGTTTGCGGTGTACTGCGCAACTAGCATTTCACACGTAAGCCTTTTGGGTTATTTCGATTTCTTTACATTAATGTTTTTTCTTGAAATTTCTTATAAAGTTCTTTTTATTTGAATTTGTTATTTGTTTTCTGAACAAGTTCGATAGGGACCTTTTTAAGAAAGCGGAACAAACCGTGTTAATCATTTTGTTTATAATGATTTTTCTTTCTTAATTGTCGTATCTCATTAGCATTGTTTTTTGTGGGTTTTTGAGTTTAGTTTCTTCCAGTAGAGCAACCTTTCCCTTGTAGTCCGAGATTTCTCGATAGAACACGGTTTTCACTGTTGCGCCGTTTTTAATCTTCTCATAGCAGCGCAGGTGTCATTTTGATTTGCATTTCATTGATGTCCGTGTATTGCAGTGTCTGCTCTATCGAAAAGTGCAGGAGGCTCAACGCCGCTCGCATATGGCCGCTGAGCTGCTGGTGCAAGGATCCCAGTTGCTTGTAAGAGTTTTTTTTTCGCTTTTTGTACACTTTTTATTTTGATTCGATGTCCTTTCCTCATTGATGTTATTTCTCAGATATCTGAAGAAGATGTCAATCGACTCACGGACGAGCCCATCAAAAGCTGGAGGTATTATTACGTTTTGTATTCTTCTATTCGATTCGACTTGCTTTGCTCTTATTGCTTTTTTTCTTTCGAAGGTTTTGGAGTCCCCATTTTGATCGCTTCTACTTTTCACCACGTTCTATCGGTGACGGCGACGCTTACATTGCGGCTTCAATGACAATGTTCGAAGTGAGTAGTAAAATTTAGCTTTTTGGAATCTTTTGGATGCTTTTTCATACGTATGGCGCTAGAACAGCTTGTTAGGGCAAACTACTTGGAGGGAGACTCAGCTTGAGAATCGGTGTTTATTCGGCGAAATGAGTGCTATCAACGACATTTTCACTGGTTGCTACTATATGCAGCTTTTTTCAGGATCTTGGATTTACTGCCAGGTATAGCATGAACAAACGAAAGTTAGCTTCATTTCTTTTACGGGTCGCCAAAGGATATCGCGAGGTAATTTTTTCGATTTTTTTCCACTTTTTGTTTATTTTGTGGATAGCCACGCAGGTTGATTGCGCCAGTATGAGTTGAATGGGGATGGGTGGTAAAACGGCAATGAGGCTGCACGGATTCTCAGCATAAATTTCACTTGCCGGCGTCGAGCATTCCGGTTAGGGTTTTAAATGCACCCCCTCTCCTGAATAATGTGGTCCTTTTGCTCAGAAGCCCTTAACTCCTGAGTGTGAGTCCAGATTGCATTGTTACACGTTGTGTATTGGAGATCTTAGCGCTCCTCCATCTTGTTTTCGGCACTGTTATTTTGTTTCAAATATATTCTGCAAAGCTTGAAACTCAGACGTATCAAGCTTTCAACTCTATATTTCTACACTGGAAGGAAACTTATACTGAAAATGCCTTGCAAATTTTGCACTGGTTACAGGGATTTTCCAGATATCGTATCACAATTGGTTTCTGGTTTACGTGTTCAACATCAGATGGTAGCTTTCAAAGTTTGAAATATGTCCCGATCTTCGCATATTGACTTCCATTACGTATTTCGAGTTTTGAACTTTGAATTATCATCCAATTCCTGGCAGTGACAATTCTTATATTACAATCTATTTCTTGGCTAGTGTTATCACATCATCACTTCGATTTTCCAGGTACCGTACCATAATTGGTCACACGCGTTCTCGGTGGCGCATTTCTGTTGGATCAGTCTGCGAACTCCTGCAGTGCTGCATGGGCTCGATGAATTGGAACGGTTAGCGCTGTTGATCGCATGCCTTTGTCACGACATTGATCATCGGGGCACGACGAATGCATTTCAGTTGCAGTCGGTATGCTTATTTCTATTATAATTTATTGCTTTTATCTTTTTCTTTATCTTACTTTATCCTTTTTAACTCTTTTCCATTTGTTCTTTTCTTTTTTATTTTGTTTGCTTATAATGACCTTTGTCCCAGCAATGTCGTTATAAGCATGACTCTGGTCAATAAGGTGATCCCCTAGGGCCTTACATGAAAGTGGAAAGGCGGTGCGGCGGTGGTATGGTGAGTTGTGGTAACGATCGAGTGACGAGTTTGATGCCCGTTTTGTGAAGTCATAGGGAAGACTTCTCCAACTTAATTGGAGGATTGCTGCAAGGTTCACAGCGGTGGAGTCTGGGGAAGCGTATTGGTCATATTTTGCTGCTTCAGAAAGAAAGGACCTCAGCTTTCCTTTTTTCTTTCATGCGGCACAGCACACCATCTATTAAATGGGCATCTTTTTCGTGCTTAAAGTTTTTCCCGTCAATCACTTGAAATGTGCGGTTGTAATTCCGCAACCTCTTCTTGTTTTACGACCTTGCCCAACACGTTTAAATGGCAGGCTTTCTTCTAGTTAGGGTTATACTAGGGTCATTGATGTGTTAACCAAGGACTGGAGAAAATGAATGAGGGCACCTCTTATTAGTATTTAACACATTTACGCCGATGACAGCCCTCCTTTTGCTGTAATTTCACTTCTTTTCGAGGAGATATTGAGAAATAGTATTGTGTTGTAAGATTGGAATAGCTGGGTCAGTTTCAGGGTATGCTCCGGAAATTGTCAACAGCTTTAGAAGACACTGTCATTTGGTGTAACACATGGCCGACTTTTTGCTTTTTGTAGAGGTTCTGGGCATCGGCTACCAAATATTTACCATGTTGTGAAAAACGGTCTGGAAGTTCATCGCAAGACGTGGGCTTCTTGCCAAATCACTTCCATTAACGCGCTTTTTGGGTTCTAAAACCAGGAACGCTCGGACTTGATTTCATTAAGACGATTTTCTCCGCCACAATTGCCTCGAAGTGCTTTGAAGAGGCCATCGACTAGGGTTTACAAACGTTCTACATTAAAGGCAAAAGTCAGGCTCGTGTTTGGGCATTATGGCGCCTGAAATTGAGTGTAGAGATGGGAGGTGGAACGACAGTGAAGAAAAAACGCAAAGAAACCGTCGACAAGACCGAAATCGAAACCCCTTCCCTTCTAGCAGTGAAGGAGGCTTGCTCGGGGGAGAGCCACGTCCAAACGAGTTTTCCGGATATGCCAGCCGTTCCATCGGTTGATACGGCAATCAACCTAGCTGATCTCACACGTTAGGCCAGCCACGCACCACATCCCGCGGTGGGCGGGACCAGCTGATGAAACGAACCCATCGCTGTAAGTAGTAGGCCAGAGGCCTTGACGGCGCGCAATCTCGAGTCAGGAGTGTGGCATCACCCCTCTGAGCGCATTCCTGGAAATATTAGTGATGGAAAGGCCTTCTATGGTCACCTAATCCTGACTCGTGGCGCTTTAATTCTTTAAAAATTATCCCTGAAGGTTCTAGAAGTTCAGATGGAAATGGCTAAAGACTTCCGAATCCTAAATCTGAGTTTTTGTTTCTTTATCACGTAAAATCTATGGATATGAGGTGAGCAGCGGCAAAATCGCGCCCGTCCACCAAACAGTTAAAAGGAGCACCTTCATGGATGTGCTGATCGATTTTTTTCTAGAAAACTCCTCTGGCTCAATTGTACAGCAGTGAGGGTAGTGTGTTGGAAAGGCATCATTACGCTCAGACAGTGCAGATTCTAAAGGTGCGTTGGAAGCAAATCTCATCCGGCATGCCTGGTACTCTAATGTTCGTGTTCCAGATGTCCGAGTGTAATATTCTGGATCAGCTGACGCGAACGCAGTACCAAACGGTGCTGAGTCATATCCGAGACGTGATCCTTGCCACGGATATCGCAGTACATCTAGGCAGTCGACGGATTCAGGCAATGGGAAACGTTGAACGGGTTGGAGTTTTTTCATTGACTTCGGTTACTCGTTATGTTCTTTCGTTTACCCATTTGTCTGTTTTACTTATATTATTGCTGCTACTCACATTAGGTGAAACTCCAGTTCGGGGGGAGGGGGTCATAATATCTTGTCTACATTCTTATCAAAGTGACCATCTAATCAAAGCGGAGTTGTGGAAAGGCCCCTGTATCTGATTACAGCAGAGTTGCGAGAAGCACTCATATCTTATCAAATGAGAAGTATTTAGCACGATTAGCTGAGAAGGGGGCACTACCAATTCGTTACGGCACCAATCACTTAATTGCTATCTGTCATTCAATAGCGAAAATGGCTGCTGCTCTGCTGACACTTGGCTCTTTCACTATGTTCACCTCGTGGCTGGAGCTAAAGGCGAAGTCGAAGGAAGACTTCGACGACTGTTTGGCCGAATTTCGATTGCTATGGAAGGAGAGGCCGTGCCCTAGCTGTGGAAGTCCTCGCAAATTCAAGCGGCAGGGGAATGATTAAGGTAGGCATTTGAAGGTTATAAACGCCAACGTCGCTAACCCGGCATTATGTACAAAACGGGATATATGAAAAATACTTTTTGAGAGCTTGCATGACGATCGTAGGAAGATTTCCCTAGCTAGCTATCTCTTTGCGTACGATCTCGGTCTAGTTAAAGAAATAGGTAGCAGATGGAGTGTCATTACTTATGGTGTCATTGCGGGACGCAGTGCCTTTGCGCAGGTCGATTGCTCGGACTCTATATAACAATAGCGTCAACGAGTTTGGTGGACACAACAGTTAGTTCAGGTGGCATAGACTTGCAGTAGTAGGACACGTGAGCCGGAATAGTTCGTCAGGCAGTGGCTCGTAGGCAGGCGATTTCAGGGAGCGGGTACAAAGATATTGTAGGTATTGGTAAAAGGTTACGAGACAATCGAACAGCTCTGGACCTCGCCCATTAATACCGAGTTGCGGTTGCTGTCGTGGACAGTCATTCGTAAGGATAGTGGAAGTAGCTGACGCATATAACTGATTAGAATTTAGCTATAATCAGTGAACCACGCCGAGCTTTGTGGATCACCAGCACCGGGGTGCGCATCACAACGGGGTGAAACATTATATGGGCCATTTCGAAGAAAAATTCTTCGCACGTACTGAAGGTTAACCTATTGGACGGCATACTTTCTATAGTTTCTTGTACACAACAACTTCACTCTACGAGCTGTGGAAACTAATGCAGCGAAATACCCTATTCTGAAGTGCTACATGATTTTTTGAATAGAACTGAATGTCAATAAACTATTGTGTGCAATGATTGTCGAGCAATACTGCGTCTTCATCCATTCTTTTAGATACCAAATTTGCATTCGTCGGTGCATGTTTTAACTCGGGAGACTCTGGTTCTGAGTCGCTTTTTTGCACTAGTCGAGCAGTATCCCCATCTAATCGCGCACTCAGAGCCTGTGCTCTGAATGTTGGTAAGATATGAGGGCCTTTCCGCAACTCCGCTCTGATTAGATAGTCACTTTGATAAGATATGTAGATAAGATATATGAGTGGCCCCCCCCAACTGGATTTTCACCCCCACGTATATTTAGCTTAATATCCTTGATTCTCTTTCATGAAGGTTATGAGCCCTTGGTTCGCGAAGATATTCACCTATTTGTAGTTTATGGTGTGTTTGGACTGCACGTCGAGCGGATCTTAGATTTCAGATCAGTCAAAAGACTTCCGTAACTCGAAGGCCATTGCTGTAAGCTTTTTCTTTTTTCATGGACTGTTTGAAAAGTTTCAATATTTCCGTAATAATGTTTTAGGAAAACATCTACCGCGAGTTCTTTTCACAAGGTGATCTTGAAAAGCAGATGGGTGCTAGTCCAATGGAAATGATGGATCGGGATCGTGCCGCTGTACCCAAGATCCAGCTTGACTTCATGGATACGGTTGCGCTGCCTGTATTCGAGTGTGTATTTTTATTGTCTTCTCGAGAACTTTTTCATTGGGTTATATGAGCAAAAGCTCTGCTGGAAAGTGTCTTTCTCGACAGGGATGGCGATCAGTAATAGAGATCAAGGAGTAGTACTCATATGCCATATTGTGAGGCGTTGGTCAAAAAATTATTGTTATGGGGCTGGTAATCTCACGAGGAGTACGAGAAACAGCTTTGTGAGCGCATATGATCGATGCCTTGGATAAACAATGGTCGCAATGGACTGCGAGGAATGGACAGTTTCGCAGACTTGAGAGAATCATGGAAGTGTCGATAACAAGCATCGAAAGAGGTCTTATTGGCGTGTTGAATGGTCTCTCGAGTGATTTGCGTCAGCGCATTGAGGGCGGAATTCGCATAATGCGGCATCTACCATGTATGTGCTAAGATTCATCGACTATAAATCTCGCAATCTGAGGGAACATCTAAAAGGCACCACATCCATTGTGGAGTCATAGTCGCCTATAGTACTGGAATGACGATGGATGCGGGCGTCTTGTCGTGAATACACCAAATGAAGGGCGGCTGGAGCAAAGACATCAGTGTGAAGGGGAAGAGGCCGCGATATGTGGAGGACGGACTTTGAGCCACTGACGTTTACGGATTAGCCAGCGCAAAATTCGGGGAGTTGGGCTACGTAGGGGACTCTGGAATTTTCGGTATGTCGTTAGGGCTCAATTTGTAGCAGAGGAGTAAGATCCGCGGGTGTGAGTGGGGAGGTGGGTCCTGCTACGATGTTGACGTTGTAAACTTGGTGGCCGCGCTACGAAGGATGTGCAATTTTTTGCTTACTTAATTTTGCTGAATCGGTTGTATTAGCGTAATTTCTTCTGTGTATCGGCGCAGTCTGCGAAATAGCGTCACTTTTTTTTGAAAGACAAGGAAAAAGGGCGGGACGCGGGAACGGGGGGAGGGCAAGGGAGAAAGAAGAGGAAGGCCATGGCGGGGTAGGGAGGGTGGGGGAGAGAAAGGAGGAGGGTGGATGGCTGCCGGCCTGGAATCTAATTGGTTGAACAGGGAGTTCGTCCGGCACAGACCTCGTTATAATATTGCAACAACGTGAAGGATAACGAGACGGCGCAACCTTCTTGGGTTGTTTACGGGCGCTATCACGTTATCGGCAGGTTTGTGTGTGAGTGCATGACTCTGGATATCCACAACTATTCGTTATCGTAGGCGCCTTTGTATCAACACCAAATCGAATGGTTAGGGGTTTCTTTTATGATGAACTGATTCGTTATTTTGATTTAATTTCTAAATGAAACCTAAAACAGAACTGCGTAAATTTTGCGTACCGGGCACCAGAGAGATAGAATGGGATCAGCGTTCCCGCTTCAGAGGCCAAACCGCCAGACGGCGTTGGATGATCTATCTTACCGACTCTCGGTGCTATCGATCAACGGTGACCGACAGGGTGACGCGGGTAACGCGTCATACTTGCACACTCGTGAACATTGTGACTTCGGGCCCCACACGCGTCCTGACCCAACTAATCTCTTTTCTTGCGGCTTTGCCGCGACTTATTCCTCTTGGGGTCGTCTGTACTCATCTCTATAGGCCATGCATTGGCTTGTGGCTTTTGAAAAGCGTGGAAAGGGCCAAAATACTTAAGTTTGGCAAGAGGTTTCCCAGACATTACGATATGTCTGTTCAGTTCATTTCCTCGTTTTCTTTTCATTTACGTAAACATGTTGACAAAAAGGAGATAATAGAAGCGAATACAAACCTATTCGTATGGGAAGATATGTGTTTTTATTGCGAACAACCGCGTTCACTTAAAGGCAAAAGTCGGGCTCAATAAGGGGGTATTATGGCGATTGAAACTGAGTATAGAGATGCGAAGTGGAACGACAGTGGAGAAAAAACTGAGAAAAACCGTCGACAAGGCCGTTAACAAAACCCTCTTTCCCACTAGCAGTGAAGGAGGCTGGCTTGGGAAAGAGGCACGTACAAACAAGTTTTCTGGAGATGTCAGTCGTTCTATCGGTTGATACGGCAATCAACCTAGCTGATTTCACACGTTATGCCAGCCACGCACCACTTCCGGAGGTGGGCGGTCGGAGCGCCGCCAGGCGGCGAAAGCGCTTAATACGTGCCCTGGAGCCTTATTACGGCGCCGTTTGGGATTCTGAGCATGGTAACGTCAGGGTGAAAATCGTGTCGAGTACGTGGTCGCAGAGGTACGACCCCCCCCCGAAATCGAGATCCTGGCACGACCCCCTCTAACAGAGCAAATTAATTCAATTAAAATAAATCCTGCAAAACAAATCAAAAAAATTCTGCAAAATAATGCTAAGGACGCTTCATCTTGTCATCTATGCACGTCTTCCATCGCTGCATACTTTTGTGTACATACTGAAATATCGACTCGAGGAAAGAGGCATTAACTTTGTGTGACCTCAAGGCGAGGTTCGTTCAGAAACGCACAGAAATCCTGAAGACACAACATGATAGTGATTGCGATTCAATCTTGATTCTTGCTTGAGTATATCAAAACAGCCGAGTGTATCAAAGGCCGATTCAACGGCAGCTGCGGCGCGATTGTCACTGGGTCAGATTTGCCGAAATTTCAAAAAAAAAACGTCCGAATCTACACCCTCGATGAAAAGGTTGCATTCCTCCATTTCACAACCTTTGAAGCAGCTTGAGGTAGAGTTAGATAGAGCTGGATTTCGCGTTTCCAACAAGCATCGAAATTGCTCTGGAAGCCTTCCTTGCAGAAAGATAGGGTCTGTCAAATTTCGTCGAGTAAATGTCGAGGAGGCCCAAATTTTCACGCGAGTTTTTGCCACTTCAAGAGCAATATATCTCTTATATTGTAAGATCCTGAAAAAGGGAAGATAGTTTTGGAAAGCGGAAGGTTTGCGCTTCCTGATGGTCTGTTTAGTTTTCTTCTACAGCTTTTTGGTTGAAGAGATAATTGCGTCGAGGATCTATCGAGGTCGGATCCGGCCACCTGGAAATCCGCTCCCTCATTGGAGGACCCAACTGGCACGGTGTGTATTCGTGGGGGGGCAAGCACTCGGAAATGTGGTTCTCATACGGGATCTTTCAGAACGTGCCGTAAAAGTCAATAAGATAGGGAGCAATCGTCATCATCCGATTTGGTATTGGTATAAGCCATGCATCCCTCCTCCACTCACAGTTGCAGAATCGATTGAAAGGTGTTATATGATGGGGACCTTCGAACGAAACTGTATTGTAGTAGACATAGTGTGTTGTGCTATTCCTGTAACCTAAAAAACAACTTCATTTGCCCAGCGCTTTTTCTTCACGGTTGTCGTTTTTCCGACAGGGTCCCTAACAACAGCGTCATTCTCAGCGAGGTATTAAGGGAGAAGGAGCGAGTGATAGGCG